CATAAAGTTTTTAATTTTGGAGTTCAGTTTATCTATTTTTTTGAGGAGGTGCCTTTTTCTTTGGTGTGTTATCCAAGAAATCATTACCAAAGCCAATGTCATAAAGATTTTCCCCTATGTTGTCCACTAAGAGTTTTGTGATTTTAGCCTCTGATTCATTTTTTTAAAATATATCTTTATTGATTTCAGAGAGAGGAAGGGGGGTAGAGAGAGAGGTAGAAACATCAATGATGAGAGAGTCATTGATCGGCTGCAGCCCGCAACCCGGGCATGTGCCCTGACTGGGAATCGAACCCCGATCGCCTGGATTCTAGGTCGATGCTCAACCTCTGAGCCACGCCCGGCCGGGCTCTGAATCACTTTTGAGTTAATTTCTGTATATGCTGTAAAGTAAGGGTCCAGTTTCATTCTTCTGCGTGTGAGTGTCATTGCCCAGCACCATTGGAAAAAGACTGTCCTTCCCCCCATTGAATGGCATTGTCAGATCATTTGTACGTGTAGTCAGGACTCTTTCTGGGCTCTCCATTCTATTCCATTGGTCTATTTGTCTGCCTTTATGCCAGTACCAGAGTTTTAATTGCTGTAGCTTTGAAGTTTTGAAATAAAAAATCAGGAATCCTCCAACTTGGTTCTTTTTCAAGATAGTTTTGGCAATTTGAGGTTCTTTGAGACTCCATTTTAATTTTAGGATAGATTTTTCTATTTCTGGGAGAAAAAAAAGCCATTGGGATTTTGTTTTGTTTTTGTTAATCCACACCCAGGGATATTTTTCTATTGATTTTCAGAGCGAGTGGAGTTGGGGGGAGACAAACATCGATGTGAGAGAGACACAGATTGGTTGCCTCCCGCACACGCCCGGTACAAACCTGTAGCCCAGGTACATGCCTTTGAACCAGGAATCGAGCCTGAGACCCTTTGGTGCGTGGGGCTGATGCTCTAACCAGTGTGCACAGCGGCCAAGGGGCCATTGGGATTTTGATATGGATTACTTTGAATCAGTAGGTTACTTTCGGTAGTTTGAAGGTCTTAATATTAAACCTTCCTATCCACAAACACAGGATCTCTTTCCATTTATGTGTGTCTTTAATTTCTTTCAGCAGTAGCTTGTAGTTTTCAGTGTACAAGTGTTGTGCCTCCTTGGATAAATTTATTCCTAAACGTTCTGGTGTGACCCGCGACAGACGAGCACCAGAGTTTGTGTTTGAATTTTTGGAGCCTTTATTAGCTGGCCAGCAGTTACAGTTGCAGCGTCTCACCCATGTAAGAGCCAAACTGCAGCCCCCACCCTCAGTTCTTCCCACATTTTATACTCAGTAACTACAAAGGCAACTACCAAGGGGCTCCTAATAATTTGATAATTTGTTAGGTTGTCAGCTTTTGTAACATGAAACAAGGAGGGACCTTTAGTAACATAAAAGGGATGATTTAAACACAATGTCTTACAATGAGTAATGATGGGGTTATGCTTGACCGGAGTGTGACTGGTTTGTTTTTTCTATAGGACTTCAGGGGGAGTGGTAATTATTGGGCTAGTTTGTGGGGCCTTGTCCTGTACAATAGGGATCTTTTTCTACCTTTACTGTTAGTTCCTTAGGTGTTCTTCTGGCCATGGTGGCCAGAACAGTGATGGCCAGAACATAAATGTTTTTCTTTTCAATGCTATTGTAAATGGAATCATTTTCTTGAATTTCTTTTTTGGATTGTTCATTGTTAGTGTAGAGACACTGGGTTTGGAGCATCAGTTTTGTATCCTGCAACTTCACTGAATTTATTAGCTCTAGCAGATTGTCGGGTTTTCTACATATGTAAACATGTCATCTGGAAACATGACAAAAGTAATTTTACTTTTTCTCCAGTTCATTCTTTCATCATCATTATTATTATTATTGTTGTTGTTGGCCTAGTTGCTCTGGCCAGAGCTTCCAGTACGCTGACTGGAGTAGCGCAGTGCTGTGAGCAGCCTTGTCTTGTTCTGACCCTAGGGAGCAGCTTTCAGCTCGTCACCGTCGAGCATGATGTGAAGCTCCGGGTTGTGCATAGATGGCGCTGCGGTGTTAGGAACCCGCACGTCCTCAAAGCAGTGCTGAAATCTGCGGGTGCTTCTGCAACAGTCGAGGTGACCATGTGGTTACCCCCTCCTTCTGTTAGTGGGGTGTATTACTTGATTGATTTTTGTATTTGGACCATTACATTCCAGAAGTAAACCCTACTTGGTCTTGGTGTAGAATCCATTTAATGTGCTATTGAATTCTAGTGTTTTGCTGAGGGGCTTTGCATTAACATTCATAAGGGATGTTGGTCTGTAGTTTCCTTGTAATGTGTCTGTCTGGCTTTGTTGTCAGGGTAATACAGCTTCAGAAAATTGAGTCAAGAAGTGTTTCCCCCTTTAGGTTTTTTGGAAAAGTTTGAGAAGAACTGGTGATTGTGTGTTTCTAGGAATTTGTCCAGTTCATCTGGGACCTAGGTTATCAATTTGTTGGTATACAGTTGTTCATAGTATTCTTATAATCCTTTTTGTTTCTGTAAAATTGTTAGTAATACCTCTCCTTTCATTTCTGATTTTAATAGTCATCTTTTTTTCTTAGTCTAGCTAAAAATTTGTTGATTTTGTTGATCTTTTCAAAGAACCAACTTTTGGGTTTACTGATTAATTTCTACCTCCCTCTTGCTGCTTTGGGCTTAATCTGTTCTTTTTCTAGTTCCTCAAGGTGTAAAAGTTAGGCTGACTTGAAATCTTATTTTTCAATATTTTTACAGCTATAAATTTCCTTCTTAGCATCACTTTCACTGTATCCTTAAGTTTTGGTAGCTTGTGTTTTCATTTTTGTCTCAAAGTATTTTCTAATTTCCCCTGTGATTTCTTCTTTGACCCAATGGTTGTTTAAGATTGTGTTATTTAATTTTCATATGCTTGTGAATTTCCCACTTTTCTGCTATTGATTTTTGGTTTTCACTGTGATCAGAAAAGAAACTGATTTCAGTCTCTTTAAGTTTATTAAGAACTAGTTTTGTGTCATAATATATGGTCTATCTGGAGAGTGTTTCATGTGCACATGAAAAAAATGTGTAGTCTGTTGTTGGGTGGGGTGTTCTGCCCGTGTTAGGTCCAGTTGGTTTACAGTGTCATTCAAGTCCTTTATTTCCTTTGAAGCGGGGTATTGGTGTGTCCAAGCATTGTGTTACTGTGTTTCTCCCTTTAATTTTGTCAGTGTTTTCTACGTATATTTTCAAGCTCTGACATTCTGTGTATATCCGCCGTTTATAATTGTCATCATCTTGGAGAATTGACCCTTTTCAATATATGCCCTTCTTTATTTCTTTTAATAGCTTTTGTCTTAAAGTCTATTTTGTCTGAAATTATTACTGTAGACACCCCAGCTCTCTTTGGTTAACAGTTGCATGAGATATCTTTTTCTATCTTTTCACTTTCAACCTGCTTGTGTCTTTATACCTAAAATGAGTCTCTTGTAGTTGGATCATTTTTTAAAACACATTTGGCCAATCTGTGCTGTTTTTTAAAAAAAATGTTTTTATTGGTTTGAGAGAGAGGGAGGGAGGGAGGGGAGAAACATCCCGTATACACCCAACTGGGGATTGAACCCATGACCTGGGTATCCAACCCAGGTCTTACTGGGAATCCAACCAGCAGTCTTCAGTGCACAGGACAGTGCTTAACCAACTGAGCCACACTGGCCAGGACCACTTTGTGCCTTTTGAATGGGGAGGTTAATCCATTTACATTGAAAATAATTATATGCATACCTAGGAGATGCTGTGGGTTTGATTCTAGACCACTGCAATAAAGCAGATGTTGCAGTAAAGTGAGTCACATGAACTTTTTGGTTTCCCAATGCATATAAGTTATGTAGTATATTAAATGTGCAATACAGCGTTATGTCTACAAAACACTGTAGTACAAAACATACTTTAGTTAAAATAATACATTATTATTGCCCTAGCCAGTGTGGCTTAGTGGTTAGAGTGTTGGCCCGTGCACCAAAGGGTGGCCTGTTCGATTCCCAGTCAAGGGAGTGTACCTGGATTGTGGGCTCAATCCCCAGTAGGGAGCGTGCAGGAGGCAGCTGATTGATGTTTCTTTCTCTCATCAATGTTTCTCCCGCTCCGTCCCTTCCTCTCTCTCTAAAATAAAACATTTCAAAATAAATACATAAATAAATAAAGTCTTTAGTAAGTCCAGTGTCTAGACTGCTCTCCGGGGGGCTCTGTCAGTTTTGCCTTTGAATAGGCTAGGTTTTCCTGTTTCTTCATATGCTTTGCAATTTTTTATTGAAAAAATGGGCCTTTGAAAAAGACACCTCTGCCAGTTGTTTGCAGACCGGCTCTGCACTGGGGCATACCCTGAGTCTGAGCAGCCTGAGGTGTGTCTTTTCTAGCAGGTGTGTGCATGGCTGCTCTTGAATGTCTTTAGGTCTTAAGAGTCTCACCCCAGCTTCTCCCTGGGGCCTTATATGGTCTTTTGTGTGTGTCTACCCATAACCTCTTGCCCCAAACTTCTGAATCTCTAGGCCCCTGCAGCTTTCATGAGCAGGGCTCACTTTTCCCACCTGAGATCTGAGGGAGGCCAAATGGAGACCAGTCCTCTGGCAGCCCCCAGCCAAGTTGGGAGTTTTGCAGATAGGTCGGCCTGCTCCTTGCACAAGGCAAGAGAAAATGCTGCAACACTGAGCTGTCAGCTTGAAGGTGCTTTTGCTCTTGGTGTCCACTTGGTTGCTGTAAACCTGTTCTCCAGAATTCCTCTCACTCTATCCAGTTTCTGGTTGCTCTGTTGATGTTTCAGAGAGAAACAGGCTGGGTGCTGCCTTAGTCTGAGATTTTGCTGATGTCGCCCAAAGCTCTCGTGCTCCATTTAAAAGGTTTAAACCAACTTTTTCCTGAACAACCCCAGTTTTGTGGGCTCTCAGGTTTTTTTGCCTCGTCTGCATTTGCACACGCCTGCTTGTAGTACACTGGACTCAGCATATTGCATTTTCCCCTTCTAGGGCCTGCGCATCTCTTCAGACTTTCTGGCAAGTGCTTCAGCCTGGTGGAGTCCACGTGAGTGAGGGGAGAGGTGGCAGGGGAGGGGGCTGGGAACACCCCTGACAGTGGCTGTACCCTCAGGTACAAATATGAGTTCTGCCCATTCCACAACGTGACCCAGCATGAGCAGACTTTCCGCTGGAATGCCTACAGCGGGATCCTTGGGTAAGCTGGGGATGGGGACAAGTCAGTAACTGCAGGCTCCTTGGGGTGGTGCCATTCCCCACTCCCCCGCCAACCTTATGCCCTGCTCCCTCTCCCCAGCATCTGGCACGAGTGGGAAATCATCAATAACACCTTCAGGGGCATGTGGATGAGGGACGGCGACTCTTGCCACTCCCGGAGCCGGCAGAGCAAGGTGGGACTATATAGGATGGGGCCTGGAGGCAGAGGGGTCCCTGCTTCACCCACCCACCAACGTACGTTTCCCTCCAGGTGGAGCTCACCTGTGGAAAAAGCAACCGATTGGCTCATGTGTCTGAGCCAAGCACCTGTGTCTACGCACTGACCTTCGAGACCCCCCTTGTCTGCCACCCTCACTCCTTGTTAGGTAGGATGCTGGGACCCTGGGGGGTGGGGTAGAGGGGCTCAGCTAAGTCTGGGTTCTCTTGGATCTTAGTGTACCCAGCCCTGCCCGTGGCCCTGCAGCAGAGGTGGGACCAGGTGGAGCAGGACCTGGCTGATGAGCTAATCACTTCCCAGGTGAGGTGCTGCAGTGGGCACCCCCTTGGCTGGGCGCAGCACAGCGAGGAACTAGCTGTCCCCTCTTCGTTTTTGACCTGCAGGGCTATGAGAAGTTGCTCAGGGCACTTTTTGAGGATGCTGGCTATTTAAAGGCCCCAGAAGAAAGTGAATCTGCACAGCAGGAAGGTGGTGCTCAGGGTCTGGTGTTTGAGACCTTGGAGAGCTGCAATAAGGTACAGATTGGGGGAGTGGGGGCTGAGTTCCCTGGCCACAGACAGCCTCCTGCCGAGGGACCTGACTTTCCCTTTGAACTTCTCTGTTCTAGGCACATAAAGAACTGTCAGAGGAGATTAAAAGACTTAAAAGTGTGCTGACCCAACGTGGCATCCCCTACCCCAAGCCTGTGGGTAAGTCATGCCTGGGGAAGGGCCCAAGTCCACCTTGGGACCTGCTGCCTGTGAGCCAGATCCTTACCTGTCAGCTGGTGTTTTGGCAGAAACTTCCAGCTCTGAGCACTTGGAATCCAAGACACCCACAGACAGGACAGCAGAGCAGCTACATAGCAACCCAGGGATGCTTGGGAACACCTTGTGACGTGGGATGGGGCTGAAAACAGAACCAGACTGTGGCATCCTATAGCAGGAAGGTGAAGCAGGCCGGGACCCCGGTGCAGAGCAAGAAGTCCCAGGAAAAGCACACTACAGGCAGAGGACGTTTTCCCTCTGTGCCTTCCAGGCCGGTGGCTCTCAGGATTGTACTCAAAGATGTGGACAATTAAAGATTCAAAGTTTTAATTCCATACTGATAAAAATAATTCCATGAATTCTGTAAACCATTGCATAAATGCTGTAGTGTAAAAAAATTTAAACAAGTGTTAACAACTTTAAACAATTCACTACAAGTAAATGATTACGCATTATAAATACTACCTTCTGGGTTAAGGAAATTCCATTCCAATAACATTCTCATCTAAATACTCAGAACAAACATACAGATTGGGGGCTTCCATAAATTAGTCCACATGAAGCGTCCACACACTGAGTTGAGGTCTGCTGATCAGTTACATGAATAATGTGACAATGATATTACCGCTAATATTGAGCACTAGAGCTGAGACACACTGAGCACCACTTGGCTTCCGCTGCTACACCCAGCACTCCCCTCTTCACCCACAGATGGGACGGTGAAACCCCTAGAGGGCAGGCCTGTCCCCAGCTCAGCCTGTGAGGCGTGCAAAAGGTGGCTCCCTCAGAAGACCAGGGCCATTGCAGGGGTGGGAGGACCCCAAGGAGCAGCCCCCGGGAGTGTACTGCAGTGACAGCCCTAACAGCCCCCAGGCACCCTGGGGGTTCCATTCTGGATGGTTCTTTGGTCTTCCCACCATACATCTATTCTCAGAGCCAGTCCTGACCTGAGAAGGGTGAGTGCTCAAGGGCTGCACCCCAACCCCAGCTGTGGTACCCCTGTGAGCACTACACCCCTGGCCCCCCAAACTCCACAGAACTGACCAGAGTAGCTTATAAATAGACCTAAAGCTTAATTGTTCTTAATCGTTTATAATCTGAAAATGTCTAGGCTAGATATCAGTAATAAACACTGTCCTGCTATCCCCAAAAAGGCCAGTGGCCTAAAATGGAAAACAGGTGCATAAATATTAATAAAAATAATTTTAAACAGTGATAACAGTAGCACAAAATATGTTATTTCTAAGACCTAATAAATCGTCACTATAATTAAAAACAGAGTCACTAAAACCAAGTCAAACAGTTAACCTTTAGTAGCGCACTAGCTGCGGAATGTCATGGATCCACCTTTAAAATGACTTTTTATCAGTTTGTCTTATGTTAAAAAATGTTTTAAACTTATTACTATAGTAAATACATCCTAATTTGGTCACTGATAAAAATTTTTACCTAGTCACTTTGCACTTTAAAAATGCTATTAAAATTCTTTGGCAAAGCCCCAGACAAGTAGAAACCCGTCAGTGTTCCTTCTAGGAGGGGCCAGTACCTGCTCCTGCCCCCCAGTGGCAGGTTCCGCAAAGATTTTCTCGCAGCAATCTAGATGGGCTTCACTGAGAACAAAGTTGGTGTAAACTACAGACATCTACTTTTTCTCAGATTTCTAGAAAAAAATGACCCATTGCAGACCAGAGAAGATTCGAGTCATCACTAATATCAAACCCATTCTCTGGAATTTCTGCTGTGGCTCTGAAGCCAGGCTGCCACTTGGGGGCCAGGGGACCAGCAGCAGAGCCAGGTCCTCACGAATGACGGATAATACCTGGACTCACAGTTCTGACTACAGCGTCAGAAGTGTCGCCTTGAAGTCAAACATGCCGAAGACTGGCGAGCCTGTCCCACTCTGCAGGAGTCCAGGTGGTCCCAGGTGTGGGGAGTGCCCAGGGGCCAGCGCCAGGAAGGCAGGGAGCACTACTGCCCGTTAGGCTCTGCAAAGCGGCTCTGTGAAGTGAATGTACCTCCCTGGTTGCACTTTTCACTAGTATCAAATCATCTTACAAAGTTTCAAGGGAGAAAATAAACCAAATGAACCATTCCCTTCACTTCTTTTGCAAGGCACAGGCACTTAGAAAAAGTGGCCACGGGTCATAGATGCGTGATTGAGCTCCCTCATTTCACGGTGCTGGGAAATAAAACTCCAATTAGTGTGCGCGTGCACAGGGTTAGGAACAGTTCCTTTCATAAAATTAAAAACATCTAAATGTATGTCTTTCAATAATCACTCTGCTATAAATACTATTTGCACTTAATTTAAAACCTATAAAAATCCTAGGCATTTCTCACTACTAGATAAATGTTCATTTCATAAGTACTAATTTCAGAATATGAAATCTAATATATTTACCATACTATGAATTACAATAAACTGATAGGAAATATTTTAAGTTCACAGTACACATACAAAGCTTCATATCGCATATTAAAAAAACATGAACCTAGAAAGCAGCTTATAGCAACTGAGACTGTAAATTCCTCGGTTTACAAAGTGCTTGGCTGGGACTCGAACTCCCAGGATATGGTCACAGTAGTGTCAGGACCGCAAATCCCATGTAATTACTGTGCCCACCTGCGGGCAGGTGGGTGCTGTGGGTTTGCCTTTAAGGTATACGAGAATATACCATGAAACGGTGCGGCTAGGGCTGGGGTCCCGACATCGGTGGCACCAGGAAGTGAGGCCACCATGGCTGCTGTCACCACTGGAGGGGTTGGCCCTCGCAGTAGGGGCACTCAGGTGCGCTGGCCACACAGGGCTCACAGAGCACACGGTGCTGGCAGGGCTGCAGGACGGCGCCGCGGGCCCGCTCTCCGCATACCACACACTGCTTCGCTCGGATCTGGAAGATCACCTGTGGGGGAGAGAAACTGGCGGATCACAAAAGGCCCCTCCCCACCACTGGTCCCCGGCTTGCCCAGAGGTGACTTGAGAACACATAATGGCCCCATGGCTAGCTCAAGAAGGCTCAGGGCTGGGGTGGGACACCTGTGCCAGGAGTCACCCCAGTAATGCAAAGATGGAGGTCAGAGCTGCTTTTCCACAAGACTGTTGGGCGGAGGACTGGCTCCTGGGGGACCAAGCCTTCTTGAGCAGGGCCAGGCCAGGATGGAGGAAACTTCCAGATGCCCTGGTATGGAAGGAGTTTCTAGCTGAGCTGAACACAGGGTTTTCTGCTACTCCAGAAAAAATGAAATCAAGCAAGGAGGTGGCCAGTGACTCTGGTGATCAGTGACATACCTCAGACACACCAACACTGGGGCAAGAGGGGCACCCATTCTATCCATGAGGGCACAGGAGGCAACATACATGGAAGGTTCTGGAAAGGAAGGGCAGGGCCAGCCTGGCAGGAGAGGTGGTGAACACACTACTGGGAGCAGAGTGTGAGCTGCCACCTGAGGAGTCGGATGAGAGGACCACATCCGAGGGGAAGGAGGGGCACTGGGCCAGGTCCCAGTCGTCATCTCTCCCATACACTGTGCCAGGGACAGACATCAGGTACCTTGGAAACAGAAACCAGGACTCACCCCGTCCACCGCCTCCAAATCCAGGCGCAGCTGACTCTGCAGTGAATGCAGCTTGGGCAGCGGGATGGCACCGATGTCGCCGCAGCCCCGCAGCCCAGGGAGGGTGGACATGCCGCGGCCTTCCAGCTCCTCCCGCAGCTGCCGAAACTGGGCCTCCACCTCCTCCTTCCTCTGCAGCGCCAGCTGCCGGGCGCTGTCGGCCGCCAGGGCGCGCTCCTTCGCCTCCTTGGCCTCCCGCTGCCACGCGTCACAGGCCTGAAACGCAGGGGGCTGTAGCGGCTGGCGGGGGGAGGGCGCCCCACACCCGTCCCCCGAGCCTGGGCACCGCCCCAGAGCTCACCTGCTTCACCTGCTGCCAGGACTCTTCCCACTGCCTGATCTTCCTCTTGGCCTCGTCCAGCTGCCGCCGCACCCGCGCCAGCTCCGCACCGTTCGGACTTGCAGTTGCAGTGGGTGTGGGGCCGGCGCTCAGAATGGGGGATGGGCTGGGAGAGAAGCTGCCAGAAACAAAGTCCCAGATGCTCCCGGGGACTCCGTTCAAACCTGAGTGTGGAGGAGACAGACGTCAGCCCCAGGCGTGCTGAGACATCACAGACATCTCCCGGGCAGGCCCTGGGACCGCTGGGGCTCCACTGACAAGGCTGCTGCCCCTGGTCTTCCAGCCAGGCGCCTTCCAGCTGCCTGTGGCGTTTAAACAGAAAGGAAATGAATTCAAAGTTTCTGTGCCTGCATCATGTGGAGCGGCGCTTCTCAAACTCTGGTCCCAGGAATCCTTGACACGTGTAGATCATCAGGCAACTTCGTCACCATGTGAACACCACAGAGCGCACTTACACAAACCGAAATGGCGGAGCAGAGCCCACCCACACCTAAGCCCCATGGTGTAGCCTACTGCTCCTGGGCTACAACCTCACTGAGTACTGCAGGCAGCTGTAACAGTGGTAAGTTTTTGTGTATCTAAACATAGAAAAGGCACAATAAAAATATAGTATAAAAGGTAAAACATGGCACACCTGTATAGGGCACTTACCATGAGCGGAACTTGCAAAACTGGAAGCTGCTCTATGCGAGTCAGTGAGCGGTGAGTGAGTGTGAGGGCCCTGGTTTTTGCTGTTCACTAGTGTAGACTCTATAACCACTGCCCCACACGCCCTCCCGCTTCCTTCCGACAGGGTCAGAAACAACACTGAAGCTGTCGGTGCTGCTCCATGACCAGCAATGTGGGCCAGACTGATGAAATAGCAAGAAGAAACTGGCTGGGTAATAGTCACTGTCAGGAGGGAGGGAGAGGTGGCCTGAGGATCAGTGATGATAAAAGTGGACAGAGAGAGAGAAAGGAGCACAGGGCCCTGTGCTGGCCGTGTGGCGACTGCAGTTGGAGCAATGGTCAGATTACGCAGCTTTGTGGTTTTCATAAAAAAGAGGGTGTTTAACATGGAAAGGGTGTAAAACTGAGGACTCAATAGTTTGACTTTAGGAATTTGGTTCCATTGGCCCAACTGGCACAAAGGGCTCTCTCACTAGCACTAAATTAATGGAAGAAGAGAAAACCTTATCTGTATTTTACATCATTACAATCTGAAAATATTTCCAAAGTCCAGGGACAGGCTGACTCCACACAACCACAGAAAGCTTTACTAAAGTGGCAGTGGCACTTCATACTTGCTAAGGCCACTGCTGTGGACTGGTGTCCTTGTACAGGATCTTAGGTCCTCAACAGGGAATTTACAGCAGTGCGCCCCACGACCATCACGCGGGACCTGCGAGGCGGGAGCGCCCTCTGAACAGCAGCTGGCTGTGCCGGAACAGCCCGGACTGACCGGAACGTAACCCACGCTCCGAGGCGAGGGGCTGCACGAGGAAGCCTGCTCGCCCCCACGGCTACTGCTCCCACCAGAGAACAAGTTCCCCTGAAGCGCACAGCCTTCCTTCCTCACAGGAAATTCAGCTCAGGGCCACCGTCCTACGTGCAGCCCGTTGCTGACCAAAAGTCATTACGTGGTACATGACCATTTAAAATTAAACAAGTATTTTAAAATACTAATTCTTTTAAAGTATAACAGGATACATAAAATAAGTAACATTTCTGAGTGAAAGAATGTAAAATAAAAAATGGCACTGCTCCTATTGGGTCTCTGGTGACATCACACCTGTGCAGCCTCAGAAGTCACTGCACGTGCAACTGAGCAAGGCGGGTCACGCTGCAGCATTGTCATGACTGTGGCCCGGGAACACTGAGACCCTGAGAGAGTCTGACAAGCAAACTCCTGTCCGAGCCCCAGGGCACAACCAGCAAACCAGCAGAGACGTGGACAAGCGGCTGCCTGGGATAAGAGGCAAGGCCTCGGCACAGGGAGCGTGCAGGGCAGCAAGGTGCAGCCCTCAGCGGGAGGAAAACCAAGTGGGGACAGCCACCCACGCCTCAGCTTATTCCACTTAAACTGTCACTATAGGGTAGCCCCTCCCCACGAACCCCAGCTCACCTAGAGAGTTGTAGGACGATGCCGAGGAGCCGAGCACCCTGGGCTCCGACTTGAGGGGTGGCGGCTGCTGGGGGGGCGTCATGGCCGAGGAGACAAGAGGCCCCGACAGGGACTGGGAGAGCGAGCTGAGCGGGGAGGTGGACAGGGATGACGAGGAGTGCAGGGACGGGGAGCGGGCCAGGCAGCCGGGGATGGTGAGGGGCTCCGAGCCCCCCAGCGACCTCTGACCTGCGCAGAGTGGAAGGCGGGACAGTGAGGGGCGGAGGCGGCCCTGTGCCCAGGAAACAGCACAGCATGGCCTCTGGGCTGGGGGGCAGCAGCCAGAGCAGGGGGACATGGGGCACGGTGCTGGGGGTCCCAGGCCTGCAGCAACCTCGTGGAGGTGCAGCTACAGAGCTACCCCCAGGCCAAGATGTGGCCACACAGCCCTCAACCAGTCAGACAAGCGGCAAGTGCACAGGACAAGGGTTTCAGCGGAGGTCCCACAGAGGCCAGACACCCACTAGGCCCTGGCAGCCAACCCACCCACTGGCATGATGGTCCCAATACTTGCAGGGCCCCCCGAAATGGATTAATTTGTTTTAACATCAGAAGACAAAGATGAGCTTTTAGGTTGAAGAAAATGATTTGGTATGTTTATATATCTGTCTTCATGCCAATGCAGTGGTGGAAACGCTTCAGAAGGCTGTGAAGGCTGGCCATCCCTGTCCCCCATCCTGCACCCCCTACACACCATCTCTGCGGGGGCCACTTCGCTCAGGTGGAGGTAAACTGAGGAGTGGGAGGCTGCCCAGCCTGGGCTGCAGGGGCCTGGGGGACGGGGAGGGGACCTCTCCCACCCTAGAACCACTTAAGGATTCTTGGAAGGAGAGGCGCAGCCAGCCCCGGACACCCCGACTAGAGTGCCAGGTGTCATCGTTCTTACCTGTGGGTCCCAGGTCACTTCCGTCCTGCTCGTCCAACTCCTTATCCAGGGGAGCAAGGCTTACATCACTAAGATGGAGATCTAAGGCAGAACCTGTACAAGACATGTGTTAGAGCGGGGACATCCTGCCTCCAAGCTGGGGGCCAAGCTCTCC